ACACACTCCGACACACACACACACACACACACACACACACACACACACTCAGACACACACACACACACACACTGTAAAACTCGGCTCTAATAATGACACATTTTCATGAAATCGATTCTCACGGGTCAGTTCACACAAAAATAGAGTGTGAAATGATTTTTCGAAGTTGTAAACAAAGATTATTAGAGTACATTCCACAAGAAAATACTATTTCAGTTTCCCTACTTCAAAAATTCTCTGTAATAAACGGTGCAAATTGCCAGTTGTTGTTTTTTTCAACTAAATGTAAAAAGCGCAGATTTGTGCTCCTCCAGTGTTCATATGAATAATTGATGATGACACTGTGTTCAGTTGGTGAGGAAACATGCTGATCATTGTAAAGTACATCGCTACAGTGTTTTCCTTCTGGGTGCGAATCTGTTGGGCATGTGCATGAGGAGAGGAACTGTGCATCATCCTAAAATATTATCAGCACTATATGAAGTATTAGTCGTTAAGCCCTTCACTCAATCTTCATGGCAAATGATCAAAAATCTGTGATCCTCATAATGGCTGTGAGATTTCAGGCTCGTCTTCATCATTCTTCAGCGGCAGAAGCTTCATTAGTGGGATTCGGTCAGTGTGTGTGTGTGTGTGTGTTGAGGGTCTCGTTCTCAGTGAAGCCACAGGCGGATCTCATCAGACTCTCTGAACATTCAGCCTGTGTGTGTGTGTGTGTGTATGTCTGAGTGTGTTCAGTGTGTGTGTGTGTGTGTATTTAAGAGTCAGTCCACATCCCCACAACTAGAGCCTCTATGGCAACACAGATGCGCTATGCATGCGGGGAAGACGAGGCCTCTGTGTGTGTGTGTGTGTGTGTGTGTGTGTGTGTGTGAAGCACATCTTTGTTCATCCATCAGCTTCATATACAGATCTTCTCGTGTCTCCCGGCAGGATTCACACACACACACACACACACACACACACACACGATGAACGTTTTGCTAACGTTCCCATTAATTCATGAGAACGGAATGTTCTTTGAAATGTTGGTTATGTGAAGAACAGTGACACTGTATCATTCTTCACACAATACGGAACGTTACTTTTGAATCTGAACGTTCTGAAAAAAGAAACATTTAAAAACAAACATCAACTGAAACGTTCCAGAGAAAGACGCTGCATGATCGATGTTTAAATAATGTTTTTGAGAACATTATTAAAGACCAGATAACTCTGAACGAGCGTTCTGCTAATGTGACTGGAGGAACGCTGATCATGTGTCGGGAGAACCGTCAGAGCGCCCCTGTTGGCCGGTTAAGGTCGTTCACCTGATACTGAGTAGTTTCGGCTTCGTTCAGACTGCCAGTGCACATCTGATGTGTGTGTGTGTGTGTGTGTGTGTGTGTGTGAACGGCCAGAAATCACTTGAAATGCGATTTTTACAAATCTGTGTCGAGCTTCATTCATATGTGGTTCAAATCATATTCAAATCTTATTTCTGGAAATCTGTTTCAGTCTGACTGCTTTGATCCGATTTCTCGTGGCTTAGGTGTTGTGTTATGTTGTGTAGTTGTTATGTTGTGTGTTGTTGTGTAATGTTATATTGTTGTTGTGTTGTTTTGTTGTTGTTGTGTTGTTGCAAAGTGCAGATATTCCAGAAAGTGAAAGAGCGGCATGGAAACACAAATCGGATCTGTTGCGATACACTTGTGGACGTCAATAATTTTAGCTCCGATGCCAATCCGATACACAAATAATGGGATTTGGACTGAGAGTGTGTGTGTGTGTGTGTGTGTGTGTGTGTGTGTGTGTGTGTGTGTGTGTGTGTGTGTGTGTGTGTGTGTGTGTGTGTGTGTGTGTGTGTGTGTTTGTGGACTGAGTGTGTGTGTGTGTGTGTGTGTGTTTGGACTGAAAGTGTGTGTGTGTGTTTGTGGACTGAGTGTGTGTGTAGCCGCAGCTGATGTGTACACTGACGGAGATAGACGAGTCTTAGTGAAACTGTTGTGTGTGTGTGTGTGTGTGTGTGTGTGTGTGTGTGTTGTATGTGTGTGTGTGTGTGATCATGCAGATGTGTAGCTGATATAATCCTGCAGCACCGTTGCACTTCTGATGTCTTATAATAATCAATAAGTGTAAAAGGATGATTGATTTACTCTCTTTTTATGACTCAAAAGAGTTGACAGATGCGTTGTACATGTTTTGAAGTGTGTGTTAGTCAAACGTGTTTGTTAGAGACTGGTGTTCAGTGTTTCGCTGCTCTTAATCAAACAGCCATCGAGCAGAATCGAGGAAGTGTCGCTTTCACACACAGTGTTACACTACATTAATTACACTTAATAACCTTCGTTAATGTTAGATAATAAAAATGCTTCTCTGTAATTCCTGGGTCTTTATATTCACCTTTGATTCCTGAAGATCTGGAGAGAGTGTGTGTGTGTGTGTGTGTGTGTGTGTGTGTGTGTGTGTGTGTGTGTGTGTGTGTGTGTGTGTGTGTGTGTGTGTGTGTGTGTGTGTGTGTGTGTGTGTGTGTGTGTGTGTGTGTGTGTGTGTGTGTGTGTGTGTGTGTGTGTGTGTGTAAAAATGTGTAATTTATGGCTGTTTAAGAGGTCAAGCTGCAATATATTGTTGTTTGATGTGTGCTAGAGCTGTGTTCTTGTGTTATGTGTGTGTGTGTGTGTGTGTGTGTGTGTGTGTGTTAGTCATTATTAGCTGTTTGTCCAGCTTGAGTCAGAGCTCATCTGGAATTTACCACTCTCTCTCTCTCTCTCTCTCTCTCTCTCTCTCTCTCTCTCTCTCTCTCTCTCTCTCTCTCTCTCACTCTCCCTTCTCTCTCTCTCACACACACACACACACACACACACACTCTCTCTCTCTCTCTCTTTATCTCTCT